GTGACAAAAGTGTAGAAAATGAAAATATGGGCAGAATATGTCCAATTTCTCAAATAACCAAAAATTCGTTGCATGATCTTTAACTAAAATGTAATATTCTTTTACCTTTTTAGTTTTTAGATAGAGTATGTTCAAGATTATAAGCATACTTTGTGTTGGTCTAAAACAATTGTCAAGTTGCTACCATTTTGCAACTTCAAATCCTTCTTCAAGTGGTAGAGAAACCAACCACATGTCTCATTGGATTCACTATCAACAACTGCCTAAGTAATGGGAAACATTTGGTTATTCCCATCTCTGCCAATTGTTGTAAAAGCATCCCTTTGCACTTGCCTTTCAAAAAACACATATAAATCCCAATGATAGGTATGCAACCTTGCATCCATCCTTTCTTGCATGCAGCCAAGCAAACATATATGCTTTTGATTATAGGATTTGGTTCATTAATGTACCTATTGTAGTTAACATGAAATGATGTTTTTTAGATTTTTTTCCAGCAAGAACATCGTTGTATCCTAACAAAGTAGCATACTCCTCAAAGTAATTCCCTTCAAACTCCTTTAACACAATTGCTTTTGCTCAACCATCATGTTAGTGTAGACATTAAGCCCCAGCTCTTTGGAGCAAGCTATCTTCAACTCTCTCAACTTAACCATTGGATTGGAATCAATCATATGTTTCAAATACTTAGCAAGACATAGGGAATTGGCAATTGGATTTACCTTCTTTTTTGCAACAGTTGTGTTTTGTCACATATGACATAATTCTCCATGTCAAATCTTTATTAGATAATGTAGCACAAATAAACCACATACAAAATGCTCCAGTACATTGAAGCCTTTGGCATTTGACATCATTTTTTAGCCATTCAAGAACACACCATTTCTTTATGTCATAGATCTTTATTGCACCTTAAATTGCTCACGATTTTCAAATTTCATCATGAGTTCAAATATAAGATTGTCATTGTTTGGATTGAAGACCGGGTTAAATGTTCATTGTCTAATTGCATCATCCTTCACAAACAACTCATATTCTAAGTCATTTGAGTCATAAACTCCTAGATCATCACTGTCAAACTACTATGATTCTCCGCTTCCAACATCTATTCTTGAGTTGATAAAGAATAAATCATTTCCAACAGGATCAAGTAATTTCTTCCCCTAGGTGTTACTTCTTTTCTTGTCCCTTCTTCGTGGACCCTTTTGTTTGTAGCACTTTTAGTTGCAGTATGGTCATCCTCACTAGTTGTCTTATTGTCTACAATCTCAACAGGTACCTCTAATTCTTGTTGTACTTGGTTTCTAGAATCCAAAACTTCAAATTCATCATTGTCACTATCAAGGCTAACATCAAGCAATTGCACCAATTCCTCATCAAATTCAAAATCATGTTGGTCTTCATCATGATCGTCAACTATGTCACATGTCTCAACCTGTTCCACAAACACATGGACCACTCTATGCACATAAAGAACTTGGGCCATCTTGAGAATGTCATTGTCATTTTCTAATGGTAGTAGATCATCTGGAATAGAATGGTTTGGAATCAAATAGAAAACATTCCAAATATAAACTTAGACTCCAACCCAACATATTCAAATATAGGATGCTTCACAAATTTTCCTCTATTTTAAAGTAGATATTCTATATTTAAAGAAAAAGAAAGTGTACGTTTATTAACAATTCAAAAGTAGACATTTTGCATATCTTATCAATTGATAGTCCATCCAAACGGCCAAAAAAAATTATTATTATACTAAGATCACAATAATTAATAGTTTTTCTAAATTATGTTACTCTAAACTCAAGTATGATGCCTTTTATTTTATTTTTTTGGTATTTATAATTATGGTATCTCCATTTCTATTTCTACTTACCTTTGAATCAATCAAACAACTAAACTACTTAAAAACTCAATACTTTATACACAAACAATAGAACAATCCTTGTTGCACCACCAAACAAGCATCAAACAAAATAAAAGTGAATAATAAAAAACAAGTGGTCTAAATAATGCGTGTTCATGTTAATTAAATATTTTACTTTCATAAAACACCTCAACGAAGTATAGAATGGAAGCTAGTTGAATACACCTCTTCAAATTGTGAAAATAGCTGATAGTTTAAATATTGTACAATTTTCACATGCCTTTTAATCTCAAGTTTTAATTTTGAGTTGTCTAAGTGTTATTTTATTTGATTTTACATATGTTTAATCATTTTTGTGTAGGTAAGGACTAAATTACAAGAAACTGGAATTTTTATGACCAAACCAAAGAAAGTAGGACTATGAAGATCAAAGTGCCAACTTATTAAAAGATGAGGGATCCAAAAAGTTTTACCAACGAAGAATCATAATTGGCAGAAAAGCCAAAACCTCGACCCGGACCTTTATTAAAAAGTCTAGTGACAGTGTCGTCACCTTGTGTAGGTTGTCGGTCTCCTGGGCAATGATTCAGCACACCCTTTTGTGCATTGTAGGAAATTGGGGGTTTTGGGTCCTTTTCGCAAAGTCTACACTTTCCAAAAGTTCTTCAACCAAATATTTTCATATCCTACCAAATCTATGCAATTAAGTGAAAGAAATCAAACATATTATATAGGTCATGCAAATTTGGCAAAAATTGAGAGGACTCATAAGGTTTTGTAGAGGAGGAGAAAAACAAAAGAGGGGTGGCAGCCTTTTGAGAACGACTCTCAAGCAAAGAAGAGGAAGAACTCCACTAAAAGAGAGGGATTTTTTAGCGATGATATTGATCAATTTTGAGTCCTGTTTTTATTTTTGTTGAGAATAAGATTTTTTTATAATTGTTTTTTATACATTTAATTATGAACTAAGTTATTTTTTGAAGGTTTTTAATTAGATAAAAACAATGAATTTTCAAGTTTTTAGTTGAATTTAATTTTTATATATTCTTTATTCAAACAATTATTTTATTTTATACTTAATGCTTTTAGTTAAATTGATTAATCAATTAATTGTTTGGACAGCTAACACTTAGAATAGAAAGTGTTTGGAAAGTCATTGAATGGTTTAACTTGTACCTGATAAACAAACCAAGAGTTAGACAAACCCGAAACTATTCATAAGTTCACTACAATCTACGATGATTACGTAACGTTTAGTCGAATAAAAGTATATATAGATCCCTATTAAAAAATCAACAATTTTACATGTTAGCATTGTCGGACAAAATACTATGTTATGTCAATTTTTAAAAAGTAAAAATGATTATGTTATCCTTTTTTCTTTGGGTGAAATTTATATTATCTGTTTTGAATTTAAATATTATAAAGCTAAATTTTATCTATTTTTATTAAGGGATGTGACGTTTAATTAGAATCACAGTATGGCACTTCCTTAGGTTAAATACCATTTTTTGATTCTTTTACTCTTGAAAAAAGCTCTTTTTTATTCCTTTATTATTGAAAACAGCTCATTTTTAATCCTTGTACTGAAAAAATCTTTTTTTTAATCCGTAAAAATTGAAATTTGACCCTTTTTGGTCTCTTTATTAAATTTTTTGACAAATGAGTTAATTAATGGAATTTTATGATGTGAAAAATCCATTTTATAAAAAAAAATAATGTAGACATATTTTTAAGTACACATCAACATCTTCAGCCGTCTAACTTTTTTTTTTCTCTTTTAACCTTTGCTGGGTTAGAAGAAAAAATAAATGTCACATGCAGAGGAACATTGACGTTGGAAGATGAAAGCAGCCAGCAGCAACATTTACAGTTTTCACTTAAACGCACCAACCCAGAAAAAGCAAAAGCAATATCCACCCCATGAATCAATGGATTCAGTTCGCTGGATATTTTGTGCGTGATCCATTCTGTGGCTCAGATAGCATTACCAAATAGTGGCATGAAACTCAAACAAATAGTTCTTTCAAAATGGAAACCAAACACCTAAACCCAGGGCGAACTATACACCTCTATTTAGACAACTTTAAGTATTTTTGAATTTTCTTTCTTAATATTCTATATAAATTTCATCTTGTAAAAGTAAGGCATCATGAATTTAGATTGTATAATATTTAAGTATGATGAATTAAAAAATAAAAAAAAATTATTATTTATTATAAACTTAAAATTTAAAATATGAAAGTCAAGTTTATTGGGTGGAATATATATTAAAAGTGTAATTTATTTTTATAAATTTACATAAATATTTTTATTAAAAATATTAAAATATATTTATATTTTAACATAAAATTTACTTTGAAAAACATTTTTTAAAAATATATATATATTTACTTGTCATTATTTAAAATTCCAAATTGTGTTCTTGGTTAGATGGTTAAGATTCAGAGGGATTTCTTTTGGGGTGGAACAAATTTGGAGAGGAAAATTGCTTGGGTAAGGTGGGATCATATTTGTGTGGATAAGGAGAGAGGGGGTTTAGGAGTGGATGATTTAAAGAGGAGAAACTGGGCTTTATTGGGTAAGTGGTGGTTTAGGTTAGGTGATGGGGTAGGGGGATTATGGAAGAGAGTGATTTGGGAGAAGTATTACGGGGGTTGACAGGAGGTTGATATTACTTTTTTCAGCTCCTTGCGTATGTCTCGAGTGTGGAAGGACATTGTGGGTGTTGGTAGTGGGTTGGAGAGGTTGAGT